GTCTTACCTTACCCGCACCCACCACCTCCTCACCCCTGGTAATTACCGCCTGATGTGCATGGGAGCAATGAAAGTTTACCAGTTAATTAGGGAAAACGTCCCTCGAAGGCGGCTCCGTTTGGCCTCTTCACAATTCGACTCTTCTCCATCGCTGCAACCGACTTAAATATTTATGCAGCAGCCGCTTCATTTGGCGAGTGTCAACGTTGATATACAACAACATAGTTGTTGTTGGCTGTCTACCCGCTGTTGTCGATGGAGTTGTCGTTGTTGGTTTGCTTGTAGTCGTCGATCGGCGCTATTTCCAGCCTCAACTAGTAAGGGGGATGAACAATGCTACGACAGGATGCCGCCAACCCACCCACTAATTAGCTTTATTGCCACCCTTTAGTGGTGCACTCTAAACCCTCGTGCATCCACGTTTATAACCCAATTACAAATCAAGAATCAATCGACTATCTCAACGAGCAAAATCAATTCCATTAGGGAGAAAGTTGATGTACTATTCGTTTTATACAAGCCTATAAAAAGCGGAATCGAAATATCCAGAAAGAGGTTTAGCCGATGACAAACAAAATCAAATGACCTAATTCGTTTCTCAAATTTTTATAGCTTTATAGCTTATGTTCCTTCATGGATTAATCTGTCTTTTTTGAAGTCTTGTTTGCCAACGTACGGGTTGGTATAGTTTTCGTTTTTTTTTTCCGGATCTTATAGTGGAATGAGCGGTGGCGGAGGCGGCGGATCGAGCGCTCGCGCTGACGCGAGACGCAGTCACAGTGCGAAGGGCAATTAGGTAAAGTAAAGCGTTCCGCAGACAAAGACGGCGAACAAGAGATGCAAATGTACATTAGCCTAATTGAACATTAGGTGAAATGAACAGTTGGACCCCATTAGCTAACGTTTGATTTATTACTTCATTTTATCAAAGCCGTTTGTTTCAAATAAAATGTCACCGAGCGTGAGTGGGATATCGCGTAGCGACATTTCTATGCACTCGTTTATGCAATGGGTTTCGCCTACCTACGGCTATTCGGATTGACATCGTTGGGAGTGCATCTGTGTGAATGAAGGTTTGACACTGCCGATTAATGCGAACTTTTAGCAGGCGTAATACGCATTTAATGAACGACTTATTAAAATTGCCGAACCCAATCTAATCGAATTAAATATTACTTTCACTTGCGTACTGGAATTAGAAGTCTATTAAAGGATTGCTTTTCGGTATAGTATACGCCATTCAATAATTACATTTCCAATTCTAATTTCCATTATAATTATTAGCCGAAAATCAAATCGAATTTTCTTCTTGACCATCTCATCTGGTTGGTGGTGACCACCCGCACCCGCCATTCATTTACTATTAGTATTAAAGTGATGTCCTCCTACGTCTTGTATCATTCCGCTGCCCTTTTCTCCACTTCCCACAAAAATATGTGCATGCGGTTTCTATTTGATTGAATGAAAGTTCGGGCAGATAGAGACGACGCTAGTACTTCCGAAATTAAGCAACGATCCGTGCACTTTCTGTGATTGACTTGCGCCACTCTTACTGCTTGTTCGCCAGTATTAACGTTTTTTTTCAAGATTGCAAATTGTTGTTTTCCTGTGACAAACAACTAACAATTTATGGTGTTTTGTAATTCATGCTTAATTTTTATATGACCTGAATCAAATTTATTGATGATGTTTGTTAGACTGCCAGGCCTTGCGTGATTTTTTTATATCAACGGGCCTTCTTTCAATAGACAAAGATGTTGAATACGTCATGATGATGTACTTAGTACCACACACGGAGACAATTTTGTCCTCCCTATGTTGCCCTCGTCAACTGTTGAATTATTCAGGGGAGACAAATTCAATGCGAAGCACGCGATTTGACTGACTTTGCGTCTTTATCGATATAAAATGTCTGGCACAGTCGAGCAGCATTTTCTGACTAAAATTCTACGAGCATTTTTTTATTGCTACTTCAAATTTGTCACTAAAATTTGTTAATGAATATTGAATCGAAAAACAAGCGCGCTGTGTTCGTTGATGAGTAAGTGCACACGAACTTTTTTGTCGAAGCTTTTAGTTTAATTGAACGAGCAGATATAGTTAATGAGAGTGTTTATTTATAAAGTTTTCGGCATTTTAAAACATGCATGAACCTTTCACATGAGACGCTGACGTACCCGAGCGCGTTCTCGTTCCGCATTAAGCTTGCAGAAAGAGCATATAGAATATAGATTAATAAGTAAAACTTCTATCTTTGTGCGAGAGAGGAGGATTTATGTAAGCCGGAGCGTAATTACCGCCCCCGTTGTGTCTGCGTCTGAGTCATATCTGAGTTGATAGCTGAAAATGAGAACGTTAATTAGCAATATAGATCGTGACCATAAATAAAGTAGTGTAATCCCGTCGTTGTTTTAATTATGGAACGGAACATCCTTTAGCGCTAGAGAGACCTCTCCAACTCTTCCTCCTGCTACTCTTGCTCAACACTTGTTCGGCGATCTCTTTTATTCCGCCGTATCCTTGCTTGGCCGGAAAATGAAGGGGTTAGCATAACAGAGCCATTCGAACATTTGCATGTGCAAAGCCGAAGGGTTTCTCGCCGCGTTTTTCCCAATTACAGTCATTCGTCCAAGCGGACAATTAAAAACCGCCCCCGTTGGGCGCAGACAATTTTTAGTACAAACAATTCGTTCACATTTTTAGTGTGTATGAGTGTGCACGTGGGTGTGTGGGCACTGGGCTTCTATTTTTATTATTTGAGTGCTTTCTATGAACAGTTGCATTAACGTGCGTGCATTGAAAGTTTCAAACGCGGCCGGACGACGACAGAACGCGCTCGTATGCAATTCGAATCGACGGTCACAATGCTTGGACTCCGGACTGCTGGGTTCGGAATAACAAACGAACCTTTCTAATATTAAATTCAATTATTTTCACCGTTGTACATACGTATGGTGCGGACATGCCGGACATAGTGTGTGCCAACTGTGCGAGCAGGCTGAATTTCTGCGAAAAATCCAAAGGACATCATCAAAAACTAATCTATTATTCCGAACGAGCAATATCAATAATATTGGCTACATTATCGGGACTGAACGGGGTGGTAGTGCGGGTGCTACGCCGCTCGCCGAACGAATCGTGTGGGAGCATTATATCAAAGTCAAAAAGTTAATATCCTATCCGTCTTGTTCCAGTTATTATTTTCTATACGCTGTGGTCATTTCCTCAAACTGCTGATTGATGATGTTACCGTGCTGCATATGCGCAGGGGTAGAGAAATATTAATAAAACAAAAAGTAAACACTATACAACCCCGCACATGATGGCAGACCGAGCAAAGCCGGCGAACGAACGCATCTCGCCCTAATAATGCAATCATTGATTAGCTCAAACGAACACGTTGCCAAGCCCTTCTAATGTATAAACACCACATGTGTTCGTTGGGGAATTAAATCTAAACCTAATTTTGTTGCACACCTCCCCAGCACCCCTTTCTGCGTTAATTAGTTAAGACATTGTGCAGTTGTGCGTTGGGGTCGTCTGCAGATGGAAACTTGGTTGTTTTGAAAGGAGGATAGATATATGGATACAACTTTCAAATACAGATGGTTCTAAAATAATATATGAGAAGAGAAAATCATTTTTGTTCATAATATGCTATACATAATTCGTTTAATATTTAAATTATTATTATTTAATATTTAAGGAAATGAACAGAAACCACTCAGTAGTACTTAAATTTTGCCTTCTTATAAAAAAACTATTGAATATTTACGATATAAATTATGATGGTATATTTAGTATGTAATAAGAGGAGTTTTGCGGATTTTAGAACAGACTGTGTGAAGCTGGCAGCAAGGGGACACATACCTCACGAACGCGCATCTCGACGATGGTGGCGAAAGCGCGTCGGCAAACGACGCGACGACGCGAAGGGTGAGCGGGACCTTCAACAAAACAATTTCGATTCAGATTCTAAATGATGTTTACTTTCCATTAGGCACTAGAAGTGTCGATAGCGCACATAAATTTACTTGCTGCTTAATGCGCGCCGCGCCACCGCCCGCCTTCTCTCGTTATTCTAATTACAACATTGCATAACCTAATTCGCGAAATGAAAGGAATTCATTAATTTTTTTAGGACTTTAGTAGAGCGACTAATTGGATTCGAATTCACTGTTTTTCCATTTCATTCTTGCGCACATACAAGACCTCGAGCGCGATGTGTAAACACGAACACGAGAAACATTGTAATTGTCCTTTTCGGGGGCTTTCTTTGGCGTCGCTCGCAATTTGCAAATTGTGTGTATTTGCTATCGAACCTAGTGCCAGCGGCAGGGATATAGGTAGTGGTGTCGCGTTAGAAGGACACACTGCGTATATAGCGAACAACAAATGCACTTGAATATTTAATGTAAATTAAATTTTGCGCACGGAAAACAAGACATTCTGCCAGATTCCGGCGTGCTACCGACGATAGTATATTATTGTGATGCGTAAAACTTTTTATTGAAATAATCCTGGTGAACCCATATGAGCTTGTCAGTTTGCCCTCATTGCCCATTAGCGAGATTGAACCTACTCCCACGACTGTTTTTCAGCTATCGCCGTATACCCACGCTCCCTTCCCTAAGCCCGAACGTTGCAGCTATCCGCCACATTTCCGGTTATTTTGCTTGCTTCGGGCCACAGTAACGCAGTAGTCACCTTCAGTACGCTGGATGCTCTTGTGATGACCGAAGAAAGAAATGGTTCTCTGAAAACGTTCGGGAAATGAATTAATGTATTATGCGCATACATTATTGATTAATACTAATGTTAATGTACCGAAACACATAGCTGCATTGTAATTGATATTTACGACTTGCTGCTAGGACCTGCTTCCTGCGAAAATCCCCTTTTTCATTATGCATGCCTTTCGGCCGGCATGAATGCCAGGACCTCGGTCTCACCCCGCGTTACCAAATTAATTATTATAATGTTGTTTTTCTTTGTTGTAGATGATTCAAATTCTTGCGATGAGGACTCCTCCGACGATGTGGATTCATGTTCGTCTTGCAGCGAATGAACTTGACCAGAGAGCAGCGTCACGTCGTCGGAGATGGACAACATCGACCAAGTTTTATCCAACGAAGTATCTTAATAAACAAATACGCATTACGCAACTAAATGCTGGACGCAGTGATAAAGCGCTGAAGTGATATTAATCGACGACGAAATGGTGTTAGGTCTACGCGATGCAGTGAACAACGAAGGAAGCTAGGTCAAAGTGGATACGCACCGATTTCAAAGTGTGGGTTTTGCGCCCGAATTTGTTTGTACAAAGTTTGTTAGTTAGTTAATCATGAACGCTCTAATTTAAGGCCTGCGTTGATGAAGAGACTTATTGTGTACTTAAATCATTGTAAATAGAATCACTCGATTGTATTTAAAGCACAGATAATGTGAAAATGGGTATACACAGAAGGAAACGATGCAAATATTGTGAAGACAAGCTGCGATTGGAGAACAGCAATCATAGCCGAGATGTCGACATCTGCGACAATCTTTATTTTGTACATAAACTTATTGAGTAATAATAATTAATTGTTAAATATCGAAAGAAACCAGTAATATCCGAGATAAAAACGAAAACACATTGTGAGTGAATGGCACATGCAGATGCGATAAGCGTTCTTCTTCCGTTTGAAGTGTAACAAGCAGGGCAAATGCAGAGATGCATCTGGAAGGCAGAAGTGATGAGATAACACAAGTTATCGAGTTTGCCCTGGCGAGAGACTTGTGATTATTGTTTAAATTATTGTATTATTCGTTTATTTCTCGTTGCTATTGTTGTTACTAGGTAATATTTTTATTCTTCGATTCTCTGGAATTGCAAACGGACCGATCACAAAGCAGTTTGTTTGCAAATCTTCAATCTTACATATAACAAACGGTTTGAGTCATTGGAAATTGTCAATTTACCCTCCTCTCCGTGATTGTTTCAATAATCATACGTTGTGCACCAAAATGTATATCGAACGAAGGAACGAACTGTCAATCATTTAATCCGAAGTACAAACTACCATCATGTGAAGCTAACCAATCGAAAGCGAAGCGAAATAGTCGTGCGCGTGCGGTGCTCTAATTGTGACACTGGTTCGTAATTGAAACTGAAAACAACCGAGTGCACTGCCACGGGCGCTGTCATGCAAGACGTATAATGAAATCTCATACACTACTGCGGCGATTTGTAGTTATTAAAAAGTTAAATTGTGTGCAATAAACCAACATCCTCAGCAGACACAATCGCAACAAGCCATAAAATTGTATCCATATATTCCTCGTTCCTGTTTCTGCTTACTCTCCACTCAATTTTCCTGGTGGTATTTTATTTGAGTCTTGTCCCAAAGCAATCCCGACATCCTCGAGTCTTGTACTTTTAATAACCAACACATCGTATAAAAACACTAAAACACACACTGAGAAAATAATTTGCTCAAAATGTTTCTATTATAAAATATCAAGAACAATGACAAACTTTTGAAATTTGGAAAAGGACGTTGAAAAGTTAGGTTTCCATTAATTCTGTGTGCATTCCACAATAATAAACAAAATCAATTTGAAAATGTCGTGCTTTATTTGTCAAATCCATTAATCGTTTCCTTTATTATTAAACTTTCATATATTTTCAGTGGTTCTTTTTTGGCCGCATTAATTGAAAATAAAGTTTGCTCGTTCATTCAATGAATGCACTTCAATTGGCAGTGAGTTCCAGCCAGCACTGTGCGACGCCGAAAACGGTTGAAAGGTTGAACGTTTTCTATAAAATTTCGATGTGTTTTTATTCCACAGGTGCCCAGATACATCGAATGTCGCTTAGAGGGTAGTCGAAAAATTTTCCAACGTTTTCCCCGGCGATGTTAAAAGGTTTGTGATGTCCTTTAATAATATACACACATTCCACATCAGTACTGCATTTACCTAACAACTTTAACTTTTTATTACTTTAAGAAACATATTCAATTAATAATCTCCTTTTGCTGAAATTGGGAGCCAGTATTACACGAAGTATTTAATATCAAAACAATGTTACAAACTATTTAAAATACTGGGTAGACTCGTTTGTTGCTCTTTAAGCTTGCGGTCCAATCATCTAGGAACTCATACTGTCGCGTGCGGATACCCAACAATTGTTGTAAACAAAAAATTTAACATAGATATGCATATACACATGTATATATACAAACTTTATTGCAGCTAATAATTGGCCATATTGTTAGTGATATTTTGTTCACTTGTTTTATAATTTGCATCTATGATCAACACGAGAAGACTCAATACATTTTTATATCCAACATTTTAAAAATTTAATTAAATATGGTGTAGATATTGTAGGGGAAAGTAGCCATATTTGGACCATTTTTATATTTTTTGATTTATGGAGCCACATATAAACTGTCAATAAAAATTAAGTAGCGGAAAAGTGACTCAAAGGGCATACCAACAAAATGATATTTTTGATTTAAGTAAAAATTTTATTTACATCCCTCAAATTTTAATTTTAAAAAATTGTGTTTTTGGTCCAAATTAAGAAACCGGTTTCCTAAATTGGACCGCGCGGTTTCCTAAATTGGACCATGCTTTTTTAACGGCAATTGACACAATAGTAAATTTTAGTTTTAGCACTAACACAAGCACTTTTTGTATAAACCAAAGTGCGGCATTTCATACACTGGATCATTTCGAAGATTTGTGCTCGTCCACAAGCTTTTCTAGGAGATCGAGAAAATGATATACGTTTTCCCTGTTAAAACCCGGTGCCTGTCTTCGGTCCAACTTGGGCAACTTGAAGAATTTATATTTAATGATCAATGACAATCTTAATATAACATAACCTCTCAAAATTAATACTATAAATTATAGATAAATAAATAAGCTTTCTGATGATATAATTATAATCGGTAAAACTAACGTTTAAACGGCTTGACAGCTTTTGCACTTACGTCGTTATAATAGATTTGATAATTAATGATACACGAAGTTGTTGTCACGACGCAAACACGCGGCAAGTTTTAACCCAAATAGTTGCATTAATTGTTTATAAATACGAGTAAAACAAGGGGCCTGTCTAATTTTGCACAAACTTCAATAGTCCGCGGATATCGTGGTGGTCCAACTTAGGCTACCTTCCCCTATATTATTAAAAATTATTTGAATTTGTTTCTTTAATACTTCTATCCGATGGTACAAAAATTTATTTCTTAATATTTTCTTCATTAGACTTCCAAAAGTAGCATTTGTGAACACAATATAGGTTTTATCATTTTATTGCCTTTTAATACAACAGGAATTAGTAGTTGTCGGATGAATATGAATAATAGGGACTTGAATTATGAAACAGCACCCCCTAACACGGACAAGAAGTGGGGCTTTGCTGGGAAACCACCATATGCTTCTTGACTGCTTTGTTCACGCAAACGTATACGTAATCTCATGTATTGAAACAGTTATTGTTTATATATCCTTTTTAAATGTATTTCTCTGACTTGGCATAGTAAATACGATTCTAATATTTTAAGTAGGCAGCTATGTAGTAGGAATGTTTGTCTCCTGGTGTTTCAGTGTTGGAATTATATTTAAGCGTAAGTAGGAGCGAGCAGATTCTTAAAGTACGAGTAAGCTTAGATGTTCTCCTGTGTACTGTGAATAGAAATACGTACACTTTAAAAACAATAAAATGCATTTGGATTTAAGTTCAGCGCGTCTAGGTAAGAAGGAATAAAACATGATTTTTCATGACGGTGCGGTGAATATAAAGACTTTGCACGAAAGTCAGGAACGATTCGGGCGACCGCATCTCGCTGGCTGCCCTTAAAAACTACTACAATTTGGCATTTGCTTGGGCTTTGCCTGGTGGTGCTCGGAGATTCTTATTGCAAAAAGCCAACGTACACATCGCGTACACATAAAACCTTTACTGCCTATACAAGCGTTCATCTAATATTAAAACCTAATCACATTTGAAAAGACCTCTTAAATTTATCAAATCTAATCACTACCGTTTTTAATAATTTACAAGCGGGTGGCGGTGGCGCGGGTACATGCCACCGTACATGTGTGCTGAATGAGTATTGGCGAAATGACTCTGGGTTGAGGGCGGTCGCCGTGGCGGATTTGGATACGCTGCTCGCCACTCAAAGGAGTCGCTTGCCGAACGGGCGAATGTGCAAAGCATACATACGTATCACAAAACACTTTAATGAATATTTAAATTTCGAAAGGACTTTATATCGCAGCACGAAAAACAAGCCAAGACGGTCGTTTTGCATTTGGTAATTTATACTATTACGCTACATGGGAAATTCATCAGCCGGAAAAAATACAGGAGGTAATACACGCCTCCGCCGTGCGCAAGTAATTGTTAATTAGATTCCATTTTCTTGCACGCCAGCATGCGGTCAACTTTATCTAAATCACAATGCTGTCAGTGATCGCTGCAAACGTTTTGCGGTTGTTTGTAATGTGCACTTGTTATGTCAGATAACAATGATATAGGAACTAATTTATTTAACTGTTACTATCGCGTATGTGAATAATGCAAGGTTTCAAACTAGCGCGGCCGTGCACACGTTCTGTTATGCGTTACGTTTGATTCGATCAAAATTGTTTCCGGCTGTTTCACTTAATGCATCTGAATATTAATTGCCGCAAATTGCAGTTTCAAATTTTACTTTCGCACTTTTTACTTGATTAAATTTGGGTTTTGCTTATTTACAGTTCTAATACAAATAAATTTTATTACGATACAATTACAATAAATAATTTCATTCAAATTTGTTCAAATATGAGTTTGACAATTTTTGATTTTAAAAACTTTTTATACAGTCACATTTTCCACTAGTCAATCAATTGTACCTATGTAACAAATTGTATTTAATTAACAAGTTTAACAGAAATGTGATGATTAAATTACGAGATAAAACTTTACTTAATATTATGCCTTTTATAAAAATATGGATCAGGATCCACGCAATTGCTATTTTGCTTTTAGTACCTACACAAAAAGAATTTCAACCCATTTTATATCCCTAAAAAAGAATACAAGATAAGATTTAATTATTTTTTCGGAGGCAATTTTGAACGAAACGGAACGAACAGAGAAAAAAGTTCATTAATCAACTCCGGAGGATTACACACTTCCGTAAAGTCAAATTAGTATTGTTATTCTTCGTACCTACACTCGACGGTCGGAAAAGGCCGGTGGGCTCTCGCGGAATTGAGGAAATAAAACTTTTACGTTTCTATTTAATTGCTTTTTTGTTAATTTAGAACCGGGAATCCTGCGCCGCGTACCAGCACCTACCTAGCGAAACCAAACTAAGCGTTTATGAAAGTATGCTGCTTCGAATTTGTAGGTGTCTGCATCGAGCGACCATTCGTTGATTCGTTCGTTCACATATAACCTTCGAAAACAATAAAAACGCGCTGTCGTTCGATTTGGGTAGTGCAATATAAAAGCCAGTAATAAGCGGACGCTTTCCTTTCGTGTCTTTCCAACGTTTGGTCCGTTTTTTTTTTGATGGATTAACCTAACGGTGTGCGGCTGCTATGATGAACGTCAAAAGATAATTTCTTTCTACATGACTCATTAACACATATGTTCGGTGTTTCCGATTGGATCGCAGTGAATAGCCTTAAAAACATTTTTCATATTCCAGAAGACACGAAGTTATATTTTAATCTAGCATCATCAAACATTCATTTTGCATTAAAAGCTTATCTGTAGCAAAGTCCCAATGTTCATGTGACAATCTGATAGAATATAAAGCATACTAATTTATTTTAATATTTAAAATCTATGTTTTTACTGGTAATGACGAAGCAAGCAAAAAAAATAAACAAACAACCTATTTATGACTTTGTTGATGAAATATTTCGTTCCAACGCATTAAAAGGAAGATATATTTATTGGAATTAAATTAATTTTAATGAACTTTTAACGAGCTCCCGCCGGTAATTGCTATATTTAATTAAAGATATTTCTGTCTGGCAGCGCAAAAGATGAATAAGCAGCTCATGGTTATAGCAGTGGGAGCGAGACGAAGTAAACGCGTGTCGGGTGCACGGTTAAACGCGCGATGGGGTTAGTTGATAGAGGGATGGGGTGGTAGTAGAGGCTCACACCGTCGCGGCGGCGTGGAGTGCACGCGATAGATGGATAGTCGCGCACAGCGGCGGCGGCGTCCGAAGTGAGATGCCCGCCTGCCAGGATGCAGTCCTATTAGTGCAGAGACTGAAGTTGCAGACAAAATACACTATAAGTAGGGTATAGTCACTGTTAGATTATTATAGCATTCATTAGAGTTTGCTAATTACTCCTTGCTTTAATGAATAAGCTCTAATGAACCACTTTCTGTTAATTAAAGGGAACGGCGCGGAGACACTGCCAACTAAATGAAAGTTAACTGAAAACACCCAAAACGAATACAAATATTTTCTTTCGTTGTCGGGTCTTTGTTTTTAAATCTGAGCATTGAAGTCTCAAGTCTTTCCGCATTTGCTTTCTTTCTTTATTAAACTCATATGTGCATTTTAATAAATTCAGGTATGACAAATTATCAGAGTT